TGCAGGCGTTACTTTCCAAACGGAAAGAAGAAGCCGTGATTGCTATTGATTTTCCTCAAAGATCTTGTAGCGCGACAAGGCGAGCGAGCGAGCGCAGGTGACGATGAGCAGCACCAAAACGCCCGCGGCGACCGCCCACCATAACCGCTGCGTGCGTGCGTGCGCGTGCGTAGTTGTGAGTTTTTTGAGTGTGAGTGTCTGACTATGTGCATGTCTGTGTGTGTTTTTATGCACCCCTTTATGTCTTTGTGTGTGTGTGTGAGTTTCTGAACCTGTGTGTGCCCGCCGCTGTGTACTTTGTGTGCGTGCGCGTGCGCACGCATGCCCTTAAATATGTGCATGTATGTGCAAGTGTGCCCTCGTATGTGTTTGTGTCTTGGCGTGTGCGCGTGCCTGCCTTGAGCGACAATGCAAAAGCAGCCACCAAAAAGCAACATTCCTGCGACACCCTTCCGAGGTCACGAGTTCACCGTGACGAGGGGAGCTTGGCCTGACTTTGGTTGAAATCGGTCTTTAAGAGCAATTGTTGTCGGCGTGATGACCGTCCATTTATTCCTCGATCAGTCATTAAAAAAGTGTGACGCGCAGTCGTCCTGAGCGAGATGTTTTCTGTGTGCGGACGAGCGGGAGCAAAAAGGAGAAAACCGAGAGGCCCATGAAGGCTCGGCGCTCACCCAAGTGATGCTGCGGCGGGTAAAGTGGATCAGGGACGCTGTGTGTGTGCGTGCGTGCGTGCGTGCGTGTTGTGAGATGACAGGCCGGTGACGGCGACCTGTTCTGTCCGCCGCCGGCACGCAATGTTCCCCCCCCTCGGACCCGTTTAAAGGAAAGTGGCGACGTTGGCGTTAAGCGTCGGCGCCGCAATTTTCCGACCGAGGAAGGAAGACACCGACGACCCGCGATGCCACGGCAACAAAAGTGCAGCCGGCCGTCGCCAAGGCGACGGCAAACTTTCCGCCGCCTGAGCCGACCGCCTTTCAAATCGTCCGGCCTCGCCCCGGGCCTCCCGTCGGCGGGTCGGAGCGAAAGAAAAGTCGCTCGGAACGAGAAAAAAAATTGGGCGCTCGGCTTCTTTGGAGGGAGAGCGCCGCTCATCAACGGGCCCCCGCG